CTTCTATTCTATTTTATCAATAATTTAATAAAAAAATATATAATATTTTCTTTTAATCAACTCTTATATTCTATTTTACTAATAATTTAATCAAAAGATATTCTAAAATATAATTTTGATCCATTTAGTGTAGGCTAAAATATCTTCTTTTCTCAATTGGATGTGGGATACTTATTTGTAAAGTCATATTTATATTTCAATTAAATTCATAGTCATTTGACCCACTACGATCACTGAACATAATATTTTTGACATTTATTTATTTGAAATTTTTTTATCTTTTATTTCAAGAAAATAAAAATATTCTAATAAAATCCAAAGTTTTTCTTGAAACTCACTTAAGTTTAGAGAACATTATATAAGTCAAATAATCATTATAATAGCATAAAGCAATTGTCAACATAAAATTTTAAAATTAAAATATTATTATGTATTATAAAATTATAACAAAGCCAATTTAAATTTTATTTTTAATTTTCTTTCACACATTAAAATAGAAATATAATATTTATTTCTTATAGTTCACATGCAAAAATAAAGTTTGAACTATTTACTTTCTAAAAATCATATCACTTAGAAAATTAATTAATTAATAATTTAATTAATTAGTAAATTATTTTTAACTTGATCACATGATTAAGAAAATTAACTTTAATCATTTCCTTAATCATACTATATAAACAAAAAAAAATTAATAGTTTAAATAAAAATAATATATTATTTTTTATAATATGTTAAGAGAGAAAAATCTTGGATTACATTACATTCCTAGTGCCGTTAGCATCCTCTCCAACATCTCTCTTCTTACATCTCTACCTCTTTTCACTGTCTGAGACAACACACCCATAGCCGTCGACCATCTGCGCTATCACTCCACCCATAGAAGAAGAAGAGGAGGGAATCGGCAGTGAGGTCACAAGAAGAGAACGGGAACCTTCGGAGAAGGTATGATCCACATGATTAGTCTCTTTCCTGCTTGACCGACTTCATATGTATATTCTTTCTTGACAAAATTGACAATAATTTCTTTAGTCTACTATATATGAGCAAACTCTCAGAATCAACCCAGAAAACGAGTTCATCATTAAAGCATATTTGCAAGTCATTAGCACTCTAAGCTCTGTCACATACATTGCCATACACTTTTTGTGTAACTCAATACAAGTAACACCAACAAGCAAAAGCTTCTAAATAACTTGGATGCAAATTCTTTCTCATCTTCAAGATTTCGTGGCTGGCTTCCACAATCCCAACCCGGTACCGCTGCCCAAATGCTTAAACTCTGTTGCCTCCAAGTGATTCCCATGTCCAGCGAATCCTGTCCCTCCTTTCGCCAAGCAAACCAGGTTCCTCTCCTTGCATCCCTTGTTGCAGACTAGACAAACTTTATCAGCAGCTAAGAACTTATCGGAGCACTTCTTGCAGAATACATGACCACATGTGCTCATGGCCACGAGGGAAAGGGTGTTTGTGAGTGTGACCTTGCAGCTCGGGCATATGTAACTGATTTCTAGAGCCTTGGATTTGTTCTTCTGTTCATTGCTCTCTTCAGTGAAGCAGATTGGGAATAGAGATTTCAGCTTGAGCTTCTCCTTGCCTTCTGGACAGATTGTATCGATCGATGGAGCCGCCACCTTGACTGGAGCATCAGGGGTCGCAGATGGAAGCCAAAAGGCCTTCATGTTGCGAAGAGCCTCTTCTTCGTACGAAGTTACCTTCACACTGTTTGCTCCATGGAAACCATTCTTGTCACGTACCTGACTCCTGTCACTGTACTGAGGGACAGCCCCATGGTTTTGCTGGTCAAAAGCATCAAGTTCTCGAGCCTTTTGCGACATTAGCTTCTCCTCTTCTTCCTCTTTCTCTTGCTTCTGTTGAGCAGCATGTGCAGCTAGCTTCCTGTCCATGTTAAGATAAAATGTCAACACTGTTGGGCCACTAAACAAAATGAGAAAACCTCAGTTTCAAGCATGTGCAAAAATGCACAATTGCAAATGGAAACCTGGAAACACTAAACCAATACATGACTAGTAAACATAAAGCAGTAGTGACTTCAACAGCAAACATCCTAAACATTGAGGCTTCTTTTTATGCCATCATCTAAAGAGAAAACTCAAAACATAACAAAGAAGTTAAGCAGCTTTTTGGATACACACAAACAAATATGGAAAATATGGTGATTTTGGTTGTGCATAAATAAGTAGTTCAAGACGGACAAACTTAGTTGACAGGAAGATAAACTAAAAAAAATGATACCACTTCAGGAACTAAACCAGAACTCTGAATTAAAGATTGCTATCAGCAAAAATTTCACTAGTAAAAGGATCATACCATGTAATGATACTCATTGGGCAGTGATATAGTCAAAATATCACACTTCTAAATAATAGAAATTGCTTCATCATATTCGCAAAATACAAAGTTTTCACTTCTCCTTTCAATACTGCTAGAGAGAATATGTAGCAAATAATAGTTGTTCAAATTGCACTCTAACACAAACTTACAAGATGTATGATACCTCACTTAAAGCTCATTCATTAATTGAAAATTCTGAATTTTGCATGTGTTACTAGACTCTGATAGATAGAGGCTTAAGATCTATAATCCAATCAGAAAGTGATCAAGAGACATGCAATTTTTAATGTCTACAGTCATGCATCAGCATACTTGATACGGTCATTCATATTACTTGAAACATAGTAACCGCCCATCTAATGGTGCTGCTTAAAAGAAAGTTCGTCAAGATCCCACCGAGCAAGGTTGCAATTAAAAGAAAAAGGTAAACAAGTTAAAACTAAGCATCCACAAGTTCAACATCAAGTTTCTCACTGTGGAACATGTTTGCAATGTTGAGAATTGATATCAAGCTTCGAGAATCCAAAGGAGCCAATTGACTAAACACAGACACGTAAATCTCAAAGATACTGTCTAGAACATGACTTACATCTTGAAAGTGGCAAAGAGATAAGCTGGATACTAGATGGGGGAAAAATCTATGGAAGCCTTGCTTCTTAATAAGTATCCAAAGATATAATACAGGTCAACTTATAGTAAATCAAAACTCAACTTCTATCCATTTAGGAATTTCCGGAATTACAAGCTATTAATATATGACCCAGAATTCAATAAATTTAATTTCCCTTTTCTAAATTTATTCTTTGAGATCTTAGAACCATAAAAGCGCACACCTGATTGCTAAAATAAGCTCCTTGCAACAAACAACACTTATTTCAACTTCCAATATTTGGACTGAAATGTAGGAGGCTGAAATAAATCAAATTCATCAACAATACAAAACCAATCAGGCACTTGATATACTACCATCTTCCAAAAAATATAAAAACAAGTAGCATCATCTCAATGAAAGCAAATAGCTGTTAGTTATATAACCCTATTTGTGTATTAAAAACATGAAAGGAAACCTTGATATAAATTTTTTGTGGTTCATAGGCAACATTCCTATCTTCTATCTTTGAGATGTATATTCGGCACAATCCTTGACCTCACACCTGGTCCACATGCTACTGTCATGAAATTAGCCTTATAACGCCAAAGGTCATGAAGTATAACTACTACTCAAACGATCTAGTGGTTCCAGAGATTCCGACTTCCGATCCAAGTGCATATAGCACTACCAAAACATACCAAACAATGAGAAAGAGATGCTTGATGTCTTCCAAGAACACCGCACTCAAATCCAATTATAAGATCACCAACCTACATCAAGAGCATGTATCGCATATAATTATCATACAATCAACTACCAAGTTCTCAAATTAGACCCACTGCTATTGAAATTATCATCAACCACATAGAAAAGGAATTTCCTGGTCAGTCGAGTTAAACTACCGCGCACCAAATCAATCAAAGAATCATAGGCAAATCAAAAGACATATATGGAAAGTGAGATACAGAAAGTAGATTCCACCGTTTAATGTCTTTCTTCTGAGCGAGGAGGCACTCGAGGATGCACTCCTTGCAGAAGACGTGGCCCTTCTGGCAGCATAGGGGGTCAACAAGGGGCTTGAGGCAGAGGCAGCAGGCGTCGAAGGGCTTGATGGAGTCCCTGCCGAGCCGCTCCCGCTGCGTGCCGTACCCTAGCTTGCGCTTCTCCTCGTAGGTGAAGAAGGCGAGGTCGTTGTTGTTCTTCGAGTGACGCTGCGGCATCTCCGATTCCTCTCCAACCTGAAATCGACCCAAAAATTCCCTTAACCCTAACCCTAGATCGGAGCAGGCGACCAAAGCTATCTCTTCCTGCCTTCGACAGAAATCGAACGACGGTGACGCTCCGACTTCGGAAGGTATATATATAACGGGTGTTATCGGGTTGGATTAAGATCGGATCCAAATATGAATCCAATTAGGATCGGATCCAAATATGAATCCAATCGTGGGGAAAAAAGAGGAGATAAAAATAAAAATAATTAAAAATAAACTAAAAAAAAATACTTTTCTTCCCGTTTCTGTTGTCGTTCCACATCAGCTCATTTGAACCGCCATCTGCTCCTCCCCCGTCCCACACCCATCCATTCCCCACATCGTCTCTCTTCCCTCTTCCTTGTCGATAGATCGAACAAGGTGTCGAAAACACTAGAAAAAACCCAGCTTTGTTGGGCGATGAGCCCTCAGCAGACACTGCCGGAGTCCGACAGCCAGGCCCCTCCCACGGTGGCGGCCGCGGTCACTCAGGCAGCGATCCAGCCCTCGTCACCTCGCTTCTTCTTCTCATCCGCCGCCGAATCTAGTCCCTCCGCAGGCTCCCACCGTCGCATCGCGATCGCGGTCGACCTCAGCGACGAGAGCGCCTACGCCGTGAAGTGGGACGTCTAGAACTACCTCCGCCCCGGTGACGCTGTCATCCTCCTCCACGTCCGTTCTATACGGCGCCGACTGGGACGCCATTGACCACTCTAGGACCTTGCGCAGCCCCTCGTGGATTCTCAGATCCCCTGAAAAATCCACATCGTGAAGGACCACGACATGAAGGAGAGGCTTTGCTTGGAGGTGGAGAGGCTCGGGCCTAGTGCCGTTATCATGGGGAGCAGGGGGTTTGGGGATGCACGGAGGACTGACAAGGGAAGACTTGGAAGCGTCAGTGACTATTGCGTTCACCATTGTGCTTGCCCTGTGGTGGTGGTGCGCTGTCCTGATGAAGGGAATGGCAATGCAGAAGCAGCGGGCGGCTCCCCTGTTGATGATGATGCAGCGCCCGCCAGAGGGACGGAAGAGAAGCAGGTGAAACTACACCTCGAGCTAGAAGTTGATGATGAGTACCATGATACTTCCATTGAGCATAAAGGTTAGGCTTTTCGATGGATATGTTCTTTGATCTGGATTTTGTGTAGTAGATCATGAAAGAAATGGAATCGTGTTCGAACTTTTTTGTTTACATTTGGATGGATTTGGGTTTTTCTTGTTAAAATTTTGTCACTCTGCGTATGACTGTAGTTTCCTACATTGAATTCAAGGTGGATGAAAAGATAGTTAATCTTCAAGTGTTGGTTCTTTGTGGGGGGGAAAGACGTTGGTGCAAAAAAAATTAGACAAGCAACAAAATAAAATATAAACTCAAATATAGTAACACAAGAGTTGCATGATTTGATATTTTGACCTATAACTGTGTATAAAATCCTGAAATTTTCACTATATGAAATTAATAAAATACAATGAAAAAAAAATCCTATCTTGAGTTAACTTACATTCAAGTCTAAAGCCCTTTATACACCCTTTCACATGAATCTTAAAATCTTAAAATTATAGAAAGCTTCACTGTTCTAAAAGTCTGTTTTTTCCACACCACATCAAAACTTTTAGATATACAGGATATTTATAGAGCAGCCAATCCTT